TGATCAAGTCACATCTTGTACAATGAAAAATGTCTTATAATCTCAAATAAAATATTATTTGCAATTAAATGAAAGGCCGTTAACTTGGATGCGATGTCTTTTTTAGTATTTTATTTATAACCTTGACCTTGAGACCTTGACTGTGACTTATATGCTAAATATAGCTTTTTTGAATGTTCACCGTAACTTTTATACCATGAGAGGTTAAGAATTTATATTTTTTATGCATAGTCCACTAATTAAGTTCTTTCAAATGACGCCAAGGTCAATGACCTTGTGCCCTTGACTGTTTCTTATGTTTAAAATAGCTTTTTCGAATTCATTAGTCGGTGGCATAGTGTTTCACAAACACATCTTGTTCCTCATTAAATACAAACAAAAACATATTTTCTAAAGCTTCCTTCGCTTAACATGGTTTCTTAAATGCCCCCACGAACGAATTTTCGGGGGCATATAGTTTTTGTCGTGTCTGTCTGTCTGTCTCTCTGCCTTTCTGTCTGACTCTCTGTTTGCCTTTTTGTCCGCAGAAACTTTAACCTTGTCCATAACTTTTGATTTAGTGGAGCTGTGACTTTCATATTTCACATGTGTATATCTTGTGAGAAGACCTTTCGTTGGGTACCACCAAATTTGAACTTTTGAGCTTGACCTTGGAAATTGACCATTTTTTACACAAAAAATTAACTTTTAACTTCTGAACAGTAGAAACCAGGACATTTATACTTCACATATATATTATTTGTGGCAAGACCTTTAAAAGGATACCACCAAGCTTGACCGACCTACTCTCAAAAAATAAACCTTGATCTTTTAATGGGTAAGAACTAGTGCTTTCATACTTTACATATTGAATCCTTGTGACAAGACCTTTCACTTGATATAAAGACCTTTGACCTTTTTACCTTGACTTAAGAATTTGACCTACTTTTAAAAAATCTTAACCTTGGCCATAACTTTTGAACGGTTAGATATATATATATATATATATATATATATATATATATATATATATATATATATATATATATATATATATATATATATATATATATATATATATATATATATATATATATATATATACTGAAAGGAAAAAGAAACGCAGGGTAAACTTTTGAGGTGAATTAAATTTGTTTTTCTTAAAAATGTCTTAGTTTTCCTATCTAACTTTTGAAATCATCTTTCAAAAAGATCTAACCAAATTCCCATTTGATTTTGTCCAATAATTCATGAGTTATTGAAGCTCAAATGACGATACCCCCCAAAAGTGAAAATAGAGAGCTCTCAATATCTTCAATGTCTCTCCCGTGCATCTGTCAGAGCCTTATTTCTCCTTCGCATGGAATTTCATCAGAGTGTTTATCTTTCAAACCCTGGCTATATTTGACATGGGTAACCACGCCAAAAAATAAGTCAAACGGCGTGCGCATGCGCCAGTGAGAGGGATACAACAGTAAGTTGACTGGCTCAAAAAACCAAATTGAGGACTTGTTTTCTTTTAAATTTTGTATGAATGTAATGATTATAATCGTCTACTGTATAAATGGCTGTTTTTGTGGTAGTAAGGAGGCAATTTAAGAGATGGCAGGACGAATAATCCGCTCGTAACATGGCTCTGTTTCGCGTAAACGTCATCGTCACGGTTGATTGAAAACCATTCCAGACCCTCTCTGAGAACGGGTAACAAGTTTAACGGGGCGAAATTTACAAGAAACTGCTTATTAAACCGTTGTTGCCTTTTTCATTAATTAGGCAATTCGAAAACAAGACCCCATTGAACTTCCATAAACTGTGCCAAGATTGCAAGAAATTTATAATGTCTCTTAATATTGAAAATTGATGTGCTTACCTCATATGCATCAAATAATGCAACAAGATTTGTTGACAAACTCGTCGTTATGAAATTGCACGTGTTTTGGGCTTTTTAGCGTATTCTCTACGTGACGTCATAAATTTTACGGTTGAGTAATTCTGAATACTGATTTTGGTGCACAGTAACTAAATTTCTCTTCTGACCAATTTTCGTAATTTTCGGTCATGTGGTCAATTTTTTTTTCGAACATTATGCTACCCTGCGTTTCTTTTTCCTTTCAGTATATATATATATATATATATATATATATATATATATATATATATATATATATATATATATATATATATATATATATATATATATATATATATAAAGTCCAGCATATTGTAACCACTTGAGTGCGGGTATTACTTACTTATGACAGTATCTTTTTTACTGGTGAAGATTTTCTTTATGGAAAGCTTAAGTCTGAGAATATATATGACATTTTTTAGTTAGTATGATAGCTGCATATAATGAAATTTTTTTAACGTAACGCTTGAATTTAATGAATGTCTTCCTTTTGAAAGGAACTGTGAATATGAATTAAATTACCATCTGTAGAATGCAAGTTCATTGAATGTAAATGTAATAAGAAGCCGTACATAGGCAAATCTTTTATATGCTTTGTGATCAGAACCTTGTACATGTCAATCTTGTTATCATATGAAATATTTGGAGAAAAAAAAAATTACGAGCTTAAAAGTCCATTTAAACAGAGAAAACAAAGAGCTCTAAAACAGGGGTCAGACAGGTGCCATGGAATGTCGATTGCAAATTTTCACAAAACAGTTTGTTTCCTGTTTCAGAACTGGGATGGATGTTCCAAAGTTAATTGCCTTTAATTCTACATAAGTGGCTGACATCGTGGATGTCCTAAGAACGATAAAGGATATCTTTCCAAATGCAACGGATGATTCCTGAACTCATCAGTTACTGTTGTCGATACATCTTGACGAATTTAAAAGCAGATTAAATTTTTTAGAGAGCAGGGTTATACTAGTGGAACCCAATAATCTTTACGATATTAGATCTGGAGACGGCCGTGTGTGTATCTACAAAGTAGAAGTTATATCTTTGGACAAAACACTTACTGTACATGAGGTTAAGTTTTTTTAATTGTGTTTTAATGATTTGTTCTGAAAATGACAGTACAAATTCTAAATGAAAATACGTTTTCGGGTTTAATTTTGTACGTACTAGAATTATACTTGCTTCAGTTTTATTTTAAAATTATTTAATGCCCTTTACAATTCAGACCAAAGCTTTCTTGGATAAATTCAGAAGTATACGGAATTTACCACGATCAATTGTAGTGAAAAGCAATTGTGTGTCAGTCATAAACGCTAAGCTGACTGTTTACAAACAATACAGGGACATATTTGATGAAAGCAAAGTTAGAATCATTCATGAATTAGATTCAGATAAGGAATTTCTTCTTCACTGTGCACACAATACTATAGAAATTTTTCAAGAACATCTTGAAAAATTAGCAAATAGCATACCAACGCCAAATCTCCTGCAAATTGTGAAAAAAGCTGCAAATATTACTTTCTCAAAGGAAGCAATTGAAGAGCGATGTTTACATATCGATATTAGGCATGATCGGCAAAATATTGGATCCGTTCGTAGTAGCCGTTATATATGTCGTTCTCCACTCACTATTCATAGGATTAAACAGGCTTTGATTTCACAAACTCTCGAGGGAATTCAACAAGACTTTGCAAATGAGGTTATATCTGGTATTTTGAAATCATATCCAAAAGATGCTAGATGAACAGATTGTGAAAGAAATTAAAAAAATTAACGTACCAATAAATTTGAGAGTATTTTTATTTGGATTTCTAGCACTTGGTATTGCACTCGCTGGATTTGTTTACCAAATTTTTAATCCATTACTTGCAATGATGATTTCTTCCTTTGGAGTTGGGATTATATCTTTTTTTCTAACTGTAAATGTTAACTCCCCGAAATGGCGAAAAACGACAGCTAACGAAATATATGAGAAGATAGCAGCAAAAAAAAAGAAGAAATTGTCAGGGAAGTAGTTGAAAAACTGGCACCTGCCTGTCATCAAACTATGAAAGAATTGAGAGAAATCAGCGGTGCACTTGCAACTGCAAGCAGTAGAATACCCATTGTGAATCAAAGTAAACGTATGTTTTTAAACTATTTAAATTTTGATTTTCATTTTAATGCCCCAGGATAGAAATATAAAAGTGTGTTGTTCTTGTCCTATCTGTCTGTTTGTCTGTCAATTTATCTCTCTGTTGTCAACGTTATCCTAGCCTATAACTATACCTTTCTTGGGTACCGACAAATTTGATCTATTGACCTTGACCTTAGAGTTGAACCTACTTGTACAAAAATACTACATTTTGACATTGACCATAACAGTAGAAGCCAGGGCTTTCATACTTCACATGTGTATTTATTTTCACAAGAAATTTCAGCTGGTATAAATATTTTTTACCTTTTGACCTTTACCTAAGGCTTTGACCCATTTTTTTTAGAAAACACCTTGGTCTTAACTATTAAACAGTTAGAACTAGGGCTTACATATTTTACAGGTGTATTCCTTGTAGGGGATGCTCACTCCTCAATGGCACCTGATCCCACCTCTGATGTTTCGGGGGTCCGTGTTTGTTCTGCTCCTATTTTGTATTTTTTATGGACGTTGATATTGAATACTGTTCGTTATCTCCATATCCTTCTTGTTAGAAGACTTTCCTTTGGATACCAACACATTTGACCTTGACTTTTGGGATTTGACGTGCATTTGAGAGAAGTCATCCCTCTCCATAATCTGCCATACGGGGGCATCAGTATTTCACAAACACATCTTGTGTATTTTAGTTTTTACTTCTTAGTATGTTTAAAATTTATTGTAGTTATCGCTGAATGGTTGCTTCCAGATGACTTTCGAAGGAATCTGTAGAATCATGCCCATCAATTATCAATTGCATAACAGGAAGAAAACATGGTTTTCCTGTCATGAAAGTGTACCTTCAAACAGACGACAAAGAATCGAGGAGGTTTTGCGAATCACATGTAAAAAATAAGCCTAAATATTCTAGGCTTGAATTTGTTGTTGTTGGCAGGGATTCACGTTCCAAGAAAACTAAAGATATCCGAGAAGAAGAATTAAGAATATCAAAGATAAGTATTGAACTAAAAAGACGAATTAAAGGCATCTTAAAATCTAAACGGGATGAACTGTATGCAAAACATTCTAATTTAGTCGCAATGGGTATGAGCCCGGTGATGTATTCTGATGGTCGTGTTCACAGAAAACCATGTATAGCTTTCTACTGCTTAGATGCAGATTTGGTCCCTTTCGGGGAGAAACCTTTGCCCTCAGTATTATCAGATTCTTCTGGGGATATTCCTTGTGACGTCAGGGAAGACTATATTCAACTTGGATATTGTAGGAATTGCCGTGGATTACAGAATGGCTGTAGTGTTGGGCAGTATGGTGTTCAATTATCGGGGTCGATTGGATTTTTTGTGAGACGAAAATATTCATCACACACTCCGCAACTCCCTTATGATGGATTTTTAACCGCTGCTCATGTTGCTTTGGAGGACGATATTCTTAAAAAAATGAAAGGAACAAAATTTAAAAATTGTTATCATGGTTTGCATCTCATCGTTCATCCGTCTCTGGAAGATAGCGGCACTAATAATGTTATTGGTGAAGTTGAAGACTCGTTTTTTGGGAATCATGAGGAAGTTGGAATAGATGCTGCATTTGTTAAAACATACAAAAATGAGGGAAATGGTAAGCAAATAATAAATGGATTACCATTACATGTTGCAATAATTCGGTTTATAATTCGTATTACTTTTTAATTTTTGAATAATTATTTCATCTAGATTTTACCTATTTTGTACATATCTTCTTTATCTTTTGAAGTGGATCCTGACATGGAGTACGAAGTTATCGGGCACGGTAGAACTTCAGGGACGACGACAGGGATTTTAAAAGAGACATTTATGTCATTTCGTAAAAGTTTCCCTGAACGTGCAGGAATTTATCTTGTTTTAGATAACTGCTTCACAATTTACAGAATTCGTATAGAACCAAAAGAGTTTTTCGAACCTGGAGATTCTGGTTCAGCAGTTTATGTTGTTGAGGCAGATAATACACAACACCCACTAGGCCTGGCTTTTGGTGTTCTGGGTGAACATAAAATAACTTTTGCAAGCCCTGTTAAGAAAATAACAGACATATTAAATCTGTCTGTTGTTCAACCTGCTCAGCCTATGAATATTCCTTAATCTAGAAATGATTTTTTCACGTGGGGATTCTAGTGCAGCGCTATACGGTATGAATAAATCAACTAAAGTCCGACACATTTGTGTCTTGCTTTTTGTAAAATGTTCTAACACCCTTTACTAGTCCCATTGAACATCTTTTAAATGTTTAAAACCCTTTCAACTGTTAAACATGTTGAACCGATGAAAATTCCATAAACTTAACCTATACATGAATTACAAAATTATATGTACCTATATGAAGTAAAAAATACAATAAAACTCTCGAAATACAACATGAGAGCAATACGCATAGAGTATGCTGATGTTATTAAAAAATATAAGACCAATGGTTCCTTTGAATTCTATAAGAAATTTTCTTTATCTTTATGCTCAGTGTCTTTGAGTGTTCTTTTTAAATTTACCTTATGCACTTAGCAATGACTGATGAATACGACGTTTCTAGAATTCAAAGAAATTTATACATGTTATTATGTAATTTGATATTTATCAAATAATATTTGAAAAATCTTCATTTATATAATTTGAAAAAAAAATCATCATCTTTCTCATCTTAAGCTTCGCACCCCAATTAGATTACAAATGGAAATATCGGCAAATTTTAAAGATAAAAAATACATACTTTATTAGGATAGGCGATTCTTTTTAGGACTTCAATGATATAAAAAACGTAATGAGGTTTAAATTTACATGTTTGGGACAGTTAGAATTTTTTATTTAAACTTGTCACGTGATATCGACGTCACATGATTTTAGCAATTATATTTGCAGTTTAGAGGTCATCTATGAATTCCAATATTGCAAGGGCATAACCAATTTAAAAATCTTTTATAATCCTCTTCAATACTATATGTAGTTTGTGAAAAGTGCTGCGAACCTAAATGGATTCCCTGTTTAATTCCTAAAATTTAATTTTTTGGACGGTAGGTTGAATATTTTGCCGGTCAACTACATCAAATATAGCTATGATTGATTTATTTGCAAGATTTCATGAGGTTCGCAGCACTTTTCAAATATTTTAATGCTTCTTGAGTTTATGTGTAAAAACTTGACAAGATACATTGAGAGTATGCCCTTGTTATAAATCGATTTATTACGGTCCTTCCATTACTTTTTAAATGAGTCTGCCTACAAACACACGACAGTATCACTTGTCTGCAAAATGTACGGAAAGTTTATAAATAAAATACTAAATTAGACATCGCATCAAAGTTAACGGCCTTTTTTTTAAAACTGCAAATTGTATTTTATTTGAGAACAAAAGATCAGCCTCACACTGTGTAAAAACTGCGTCATTTTTGCGAGATGACGTCGCATTGACAAGTGCATTGCGATTGATGCATAGTTTATATACTGTTGTGTGTGATTTAACAAACGACAAAACTGCATGTAATAATAAGTTTGTATGTAGTATACAGTTATCCAGCTGTTTGAAATAGCAAATAATTTCATTTAGTGGTATTGTGAAGACCTTATATTCTGTGTGATGTCATACTAAACATTTCTCGTATAAATTAGGCCCCGCCTCCTTACTTTAACCTTACTTGTGCTGCGTTATATTTGTTGGATTTATTGTATTTTGTTTTATGTCCAATTTGAAAACTTTTCACCCATATAGAGACGTCACCAGGGAAGGGCTTTTAAATTTTTACTTTCATGGACCATAAGGCCAGTGAGGAATCTTTATATCTTGTCAACGCCTGTCCTGACACGGGGCCTCGGTTTTAAGGTCTCATCCGATGAACCCGCAACTTTCACTCCATATTAAAGTTGTGAATCATATTAAAGTGCCGAGCATACGGCCGAGATTTGAACATACGACCTGCCGATCACAGAATGAGAACTCTACCAACTGATCATGAGTTACCGAGAATGGTAGCTCATGTTTGAACTGCAATGCTTCATTTTTTTTTTCTTTTATAGTAATAGGATCATCATTTATGTATAATAAAAATTTCAATGAATTGTAATCCTTATGTAATTTGAATACTTTAATCATGTAAATAATGTAGCATTCGATCTTCTTTGAAATAAAAGAAGAGTAAAAATACAAATTATGTTGTTTATTGCTATAGACGCCATCAGAAAAATAATTAAGTACATTAACTATTATATAGACAATTATTAATTCCAATATTTTGATGAGTAGGTGTGCCTGAATATGAAAACTATGTACGAGGGTTGTCCGATAAAATCACTTAGCTGAAATTTTCTGAAACTCTTACCTAATCATACTTATCAAATTTTTTGACATACAAGACATACAAAAAAAAAATCAAAATCTTATTTTGCGTGATTGGCACAAGGCCCGATCATATGATGCACGATCAACTAACAAAAGTTTCATTAAAGAATAGACGAGTATTTATTCGAGATAAAAGTATTTTATTGATAAGAAAGCTGTGGTTAAAAGTTATCTTTTTTAAAATCCGCAATCTATTGTGACATTTTTTGGAAAAAATTCAAGACATTTGCTTCATTTTTGGCCTTTTCGGGAGCTTTCGAAATGGAAAAGTGGTGAACACAACGCACGAAAAATGGCGACGATTGATGACGCTACGACGCACCGCAGAGCAGTTCAATTTGATTTAAATGCAGTAATGACGCCGTACGAGACTTAAAATGAATACAGTTGAACAACACAAACTTACAGCAATAGTAATAGAGGAAGACGCTCTCACAGTATCTCTCGATATAAGATTGTCTATTTCTTTAATGATAGCGGGAATACTCTCCATAACTTACTTAAGAATCTTCAGAAGGTCCAATGTGTATGCGAGATTGTTTACTCGACTGTTTATAAAGGAATAAAGGGAAGCTTAAGCTTGTGCATTACTCAATCCCTAAATTTATGTGGGACTTTATTTGGCAAAAAGGAAACGTGGGCGCTACTTTAGATACTTTGACTTTTCTATTCTTGAGCCGGAAGGCGATTCAACATATAACAATAAATCTCATAATTTGCTTATTTATACATATACAAAGGAATATGCTATAGCAATAAAAACATGTTAAAATGACTGATAAAATTATTATATGTATCAACATATCATAAAAATGAAGGGGGCAACGTTAAAAGAAACAACTAGAAAACAAATACAATAAAGAGAGATAAGTAAGCAGAAAAAAAATACAATACTCGGTAGGATTTTCAATTTTATAACTGTCAACTGTATGGGTAATTTAAGTAAAAGAAATTAAAGAAGGATATAGAGATAACGAACAGTATTCCATAAAACAATACAAAACAGGAGCAGAGCATCAGAGGTGGGATCAGGTGCCATGGAGAAGCAATGTAGACAATGCAATCACAATAGAAAAATATCTTCTAAAAATGACGCCCCTTCAAAGTTAATCAAAAGAGTTTATCTAATGAGCCTTATTTTAAAAATCTTAATGACACAATGGAGCCACCGTCAAATTATATTTGAAAAACATTCACTGTAGAATAGAATAAATCTTAGTTTTTATTTATTTCATTAAACATAAAATAATCCTATGAAAGAATTCATTCCAGTAAACCAAGAATAAAAAAAAAAACACTTAGGGAAATTAATTAGATACAGTCAAAATATTGTCAATCTGTAGACGTTAACTGTAACTTCTTAATAAATATAAGAATTATTAGGAAAAAAATATTAAAACTTTCGGAATCAGACAAATTTAATTATTGTAAACATTTGCTTTTCATTTATGCAGTATTGATTTACATGTATTTGTAAATGGATCAATATATGTAGATACCAAGGGAAAGAATGATTTAGGTTATGTTTATTTCCTTTTATGTTTGAATCGCGGACAACAAGATGTAAATATCCAAAATATCCAATAGTATTTGTTGTATCTAAATCCCTCAGTATTGCATGATACGCCAAAAGAAATAATATATACCAGATGTCAATCACGCAAGTCCAATTATTATATTTTAACATTTCATCTACAGAGAGTCCATTTATTTTGTCTCAGCTATGAATGAAGGACACACTTTCGTAGAAAAGTGTAGAAAAGAAACATTAAAGAAAAATTGCAAGCTAAAAAATATCACGACTTCCTCGTTGAATTTTTTTAAATAGATTTCTTATATAGCCATCAACTACATGGTAAAATTTAGCAAATAAAACAAAATTGTTAATACCATAAAACAATGCAACATTTTCTTTAAAAATTGTCATCTCAAAATTGATCAAAAGAGGTTATCGAATATACCTTAATTATTTCTAAAGATCTTAAATTAAAGGTACCTGAAAATCTTATTAGGTGTTGATAAACTCTGATTATCAATGTCACTTCTTGAGTGTCCCATCAAATCGAATTTTAGTCGATTTATTTCAATTACTTTTAACTGACAATCAAGAATAATTTTTTCTGAACATATTTCTCCTTTGATACTCAAAATAAGTGTATAATCTAGTAAAGTTAACAATTCCTAGATCAAGTAATATGTTAGGGGAATTATATGACATTGTTGAGAACAAAATGTTCCATTGATATACGATTAGTTTAAAAGGGACGGTATACACATGTATAAGGTGAACGATATGGGTATAACAAAAAGTATTCAATATCAAAGCCCTTAAAACAGTACAAATTAGGAGCAAAGCAAACACGGACCTCTAAACAAAACAGAAGACTGTAATGCCAGCTCTTTCTTGGCCTCTATTATTTATAATAAGACTTTTGAAGAAGGTTAAAGGTTAAGATACCGATATATGATTTTTCTTATTATTTATCTAGAAATAAAAAGATATTGTAAAATCAGTAAAAATACTGACCCCCAGGGAATCCCAGTGTCGGAATTAGGTTCCTAGAATAGTTAACTCAGCAAAAATACTGACTTCTGGAAAACCGGTGGTGGTATCAGGTTCGTGAGAGAATTTGCATTCTCTGCAGACCATTCACTACCATTGTGAGTCCTATCTTTTAATATGGTAGAAGAGTAAACCTTCTTTCTTCTTTTTTAACGAAATTTTTATTTCTTTAAAAATCTCTTCTTATTTTAGCTAAAGCAAGCCCGCCCCCTCCCCCAAAAGAGGGGAAAAGAGTTTTAATTGATCAACTTATTTTGTGGTCGCCCGCGTGGAGTAGTGGTTAGAGCGTCA